TTCCGATGCGATGGGCAATATCTATATCTTTGTCCGTGACGTCCATTTTCACCTTATCTGCTAGAAATTTTACCACTTTTGAACACGTGTTTTCCATCCGTTCTGTTTCGTGATCCTCTAATCCAAATATCCGGATGCTGGATTTTCTCGTATACTGCTCCAGTTCATTTATGTCGTGGTTCGTTTTTTCTGCAATGTATCCCACCTCTCCGATGTCGCTTTCCGTCCCGTCTACTCTCTTTTCTAGTTGTATTATTCTGTTGTGCATTTCTTCGTTTTTCCCCTCTAAGTCGAAAACCTTTGATTCAAGTTGATCTATACGTTCCGCCATTTTCTCCATGATTTCGTCCTTGACTGTCTCTATGGCCTGTGCTAAATCTTTCTTTGTCGCCATTTTGTCAAAATTTGTCTTCATTTCTTCTTTTGTCACTAAAGTAGACAGTTTTTGGTCAATAGAGCCCACTTGTTGTATAAGCGACATATTTTTCTTAAATTCCTCATTCATTAGCTTTAGTTGGGCCTCCATTGTAATGGCGGGAATCGTCGTTTGTGCGAACTTTGACTTTTTCGAAAGTATTTTTGAACCTATTTTACCGTCTTTCAAATGGTTTTTTTCTTCAAAGCTCCTGTCCGAACTAGACGTTGAAATATTTTTACGTTTTTTTTATCTAGGTTGGTTCCTGCTGGCATGCTTACTCGTGTTTTATAACGCTGTGACTACTCCGTCACGCACGGGCAATATATCCGTATACGTACACAAAGTCAAAATTAAAACATTCTTTGTTGGAGTAATATGAAGTTTTTTTTCGGTATTTTACTCACTGCTTGGGTCGCCAAATACTACGCTTTAGATGTGTTCATCTCAAGTACATCTCACTGTCCTTGAAAACACATATATATTCATTTATAGTCCTTATTGTCGGAGCGATGTTGAAACACGTCCATCTTGTTTGAATGCCCTATGACCTGTCCAACATGTAACATTCATGTCAAGTTAAATAATCTGCATGTTTATTGGCGTGACACATACATGTATTACGCTTTATCGCTGCTTCAATTTAGCATAGTTGTGAAAATATATTAATATTTTTTCTAATGGAATTAGATGTTCAACTTCAAACACCTGTTTTGTGTCAGCAGGATAACTTTCGTAGGTCTTCATATGTCCAATGTACTACTTTCTCTCATCTGTATTATTTCGCTGATCATTGAAACGAATAGGTGTTGTAGATATTGCTTGTATAGATCTGTATCGTCTAATACTTTTATGTTTAAACAAGCATTTCCATTGGCCCATTTTAAATATTATCTCTTAACACAATGTACAGTAACGTTGCGCAATAATCTATCAAAGTAAAAGAGTCAGTTACAAAAAGTTGAAAATCCTCTGGTTATTCTGGGTTATATTAAATTTTAAGTGTTACTTTTAATGTAATTTAATTATGACACTATATAAAGTTGATAATTTGTACTTACGTACGTGTTCATTTTTTTGTTCTACTCTACCAATCTTGGCTGGTAAATGTTTACCATGGCGACCAATAATATAACTTATCAACTGTTACCATGGCAAAAGAACTGAAGCTTCTGAAACAGTCAATCTTTCACATTGTCCGATGTAGGTGAAAATGGACATATGTATATTTTGAGAGTGATGAAACAATGCTAGTGGTCAGTCTAACATTCTGAAGTAAAGTTGTTTAGAATCAAACCAGAAATCATTGGATCGAAGGCCAAGGTCACCGAGTCAAAGTAGAAGCTAGAAGCTCACATAGTTGAGATTGTGTTTCTCTTAACTGAGTGTGATCAAACGTGTTCTGTATTGTTAGGTGTAGAGCTCTGCATCTTATTGATACTTAACTGGAAAAAAAGTCATCAGCATCAATTCCGACATTATCGCCACGGAAATACATGAAATAAAATTCGGAAAGAGCTCATAGTGATGATGTGAAATTATTTCTGATCATACATTACATTGCAAAATGTCTGTCCTGAACGGCTTTGATTTTCTAAACATTTTGACCAAAGACAGTGAGATTTACGGTAATTGTTCAAGTATTTTCTGAAAATCAAAGCGACTCAGGACACATGTCATGCAATAAACGCAAAAACACGCTTTCACATATAAACATTTAGTTTTGTTTCAAAATGAGTATTGAAATAACACATTTACCTACCTGACAAAAATGTCATGACTCTAGCAGTTGGTGGCCGTTAAATACGGTAGACTATCTTTTGAAGATAAAATATCGGAGGTTTACAGCAAATGATATAATAAAGGACTCAAAACTTCTCTTACAAAACAATGATCAGTTTATTTCAGAAATATGTATGTTTTGCGCAATAAATTGGGTCAAATGTCACAATCCACTTTTGTTGAAGAAGTTGTTGACACAGCCATGTCTTCATATTATGTAGCGATACAAACATTTATACGGACTCAATGTAACGAGGTCAATACATGATTTTAAGTATCTGTGATTTGATCGAGCAAATGGGAGAGAATAAGTTGCAAAAGCTGTGTTTGATCCTTTTACTTTTATTACAATTTTTTTCACAAAGGTAGCACATACAGAAAGGATTTTTTTTGTCCCCTGTATGACTAATAAAATCTTTTACCTGTAACTGAGCGAGATCGGGTTATCTCAGTCGAGGGTTAAGATTCTGTAACAAATCCCAACCGAGGCGTAAGCCGAGGTTGGGATGTTACATACTCTAAGCCCGTGACTGAGATAACCCGACCTCGCTCAGTTACAGGTAATTTATTTTTTTCTCGCACCTTTTAGTCCGAAAAGAACTATCCAATTTTGCTAAAAAATACAAGTATCCGGCCTTGGACCTCAAATGATAATGACCTCTTCACTACTAAAGCTACATTTGAATGCTTCCGCGTAAAAGTATAGTCCGTCCTTACATAGACTACAACGTATTTCACAGTGTAGATTATATTTTATCTATAACATCAAAATATCTAACAACATCAAAAATATACATATAACGACAAAACGAACATTTATAATGCAAATTGACAATTTCAAGCAGTTAATGCGCGGATGAATACATTGTAGTGTATAAATTCCGCGAAATGTCAGGTAAAGGTACAAGACAGATCGGACGAGATAGAAAAACCTAGCATGGGGTATGACGTAGGATATCTCTGTCTGAGGTGCGAGAAATACATGTCCTTACACATTTTTGAAATTAGTCAACTTGTTGACAATATATTGACCTTCCGTTTTACAAAATGTTCCTCCAGATCCGATCCATACATCTTGTGCAAAGTAGGGCTTGGACATGGGGCGGGATACGGTAAACTTACAGATCATGACCATTTTGTTACATTCAAATAGTTCGTTGATATAACATATATAATCTCATCACCACGCTCATTTTAGTAAAAACGTTATTAAAATTACGCCAGTTTCTGTAATATTAACATCATTCTGTACCAATCAAGTCAAGTCATTACAACTACTCTACAAATATTCAAAGGTTGTGTATGTAACCTCTATTATGAAAGGTAAACGTTTATTTTTCATTCTGTCATGTGACAATTAAATCAACTGAAATGATTATTCGCATAACCATCAGTTTTCGAAATCGAACGTTACAAAAATGTGCTCAGTACTTACTTAGTACCTTTTGACATCACCAAACGATTTTTTTTCTGAACATTCTATATTATTGCACCAGGAACGTCAATAGACGACCAGTTTTACGACTGCTTGCTAATATTTTTGAAACTATAATTCTTATGCTGCATCACTGTACCTTTACTGACAAATATTCAGTGCATGGGTTACGGCGATATTGATTATGTTCTACGTGATGTAATATAATCCACTACATGAAGTGTTTTGGCAATCATTGGCTGACAAGTTAAAACAAATATCATTGCACAGCAACCTGATTTGTCAGTGAAAAACAACGAAAGAAATACAGAATGGAAAAATATCATAAATCAAACTAATTTCGGCAGCTGCCATATTGGAACTTTCTATAACTTTGCATCATGACGTATTTTTCTGGTCATATTGCTTTCATAATATTCACTTTGTCGTTTTTCATCTATCTATTCACAAATTATAGCAATTTGAGTTTTTCAGATATCACATACACTAAAACAGTAACAATAAGAATAAATTACCAAAAGAAACATGTGTATATAAACATTCGTATATGTGCCTTTGAGGCACTGTAACACCACGAGCATAAGGTGTGTATTGCGTCTTACTGAGATTACCACAAATCAAAATAGAACCTTGAAAGGCAGCTTTTCATTAAAACGATACACTCTAAAGGAACATGGACACATTTTTACATGCAACTTATACATCATAACTACACTTATTTGGTGATTAGTATTGTGCTTCGGTCCATATCGAAAGGGGATTACAGCTAAAGAAAATATGCGTCGTATCATAAGACATTGATAACTTTCATATACGTTTGACTATGGGGTGTTATGATTATGTCATATTAAGTCGAGCGCTCGAGATAGTTAAGTTGAGCGCTCGAGATAGTTAATTCGAGCGCTCGAGATAGTTAATTCGAGCGCTCGAGATAGTTAATTCGAGCGCTCCAGATTGTAAGTCGAGAGCTCGAGATAGTAAGTCGAGCGCTCGACTTAAATAAAAAAAATGTGTGTACTAAAACAGCCACCGTATACTTTAAAGTGTTTTCTGTCTTTTAAATTGAAATTGAATTATAAAGAATAACCATCTGAATGTGCCACAGTCAGGGTCACGTTCAAGTGACCTTTAGATGAACCAATCAGAGGCGCGCTGGCAAAAGTTTGCCAGCGAATCGGAATTTCAAGGTTGATACATAAATAGCGAGGGGTATCAACGGATTAGTTTTCCAAAACAAATATGGCGGCGGGAACTGACGTTTCTACGACGCCAAGGAAAACGTACCTATTGTGCTATTACATAGCTTGCTGCTTGACTGATAGATGCGAACCATAACTTCTCCTGTGGGATTCAGATTCTTCCCTATTCATAAAACAAGGGATACGTGAAACACTACCTTCAACGCATTAATAATCAGGTTACAATCACTGTATCACATAAACTTGCTAATCATTAAACAGTACATATTTAAGATGAAATGTCTAGATTGTGAGTTCAATATTATCAGTCTGAATAATTACACACAATTCGAACTTAAATCACAGACTATCTTGCTTGCTAAACATGAAGAAATTAAATATAAAGCAGAAATACAAAAACTGAAAAATGGCTTCTCCTGTGAGATTCAGATTCTTCCCTATTCATAAAACTGAAGGGATACGAACACTTCTAATAATCTTCAATCGCAAATTATTCTATGCATTCATCTCTGACCCTCCCCTCTCTTCCCCGTTGTGTTTTTTTTTTGTGTGTACCGTGTAATATATATATGTATATATAGAGAGAAAGAATAATATATGTGTGCTGCACATTATATTCTATTAAGAAATAAGAAATACTTAACTGGTGCTGACAAATAGTAATGATAATTGTTGTCAATAGAAAATACTTCAGTTGGTGGTTGGTGAATGTATGGACAGGCCAACACCGTAATAGTATTTAAGAGGGACAAGTGAAATGTTTTGAAAAACATATATTATGTGTAACACTTCCTTCTTTCAATGTGTGTGTGTAGCATTAATGTGTGGTTCATGTGTGTGTGGTGAATAGTCTTTGTCTAGGTGTGGTTCTCAGTATAAAGTGTTACTTTTCATCAAAGTATTGTTTTATATATATTGTAAATCGTGCTGTTCATGAAAATTGAATTATAATAATATTGACCTGGAATTTGGACCCCGGGTAGGTTTTCTACGCGGGTCACTTTTTCAGGTTACCCTGGAGTTCGATACCCCGGTCCGACTGGAAAAGATGTGTGGTCATATGTCCAACTAAGTGGGTTTCTCTAGATTTTTGGTTTCCTACCACATTCGGGTCACTGCGAGCCAATTACAGGTATTAGTATAACTTGATAGAAATTGATTCATATTTGTTGTAAAGTAAAGCTTAATATTTAATCCAAGAATGATCAAATTGGGTTGGTTTCGAGAAATTACGATAAAACAAAATCGTTCAGAAATTCATGTCTGTTTATCTATCATAACATCTTTTTAAAGCTTTTTTGAAACAAAATATGTGTAATGTCATCTGCTATGAAAGAACTTCCCCTAACTAGTAACACCGAAAAAAATTCCACCAAAGATTGGTACGGATATTTTCTGTACGTTATAGTATGATGAGCATCCCAACAAAGCACCACACAACGACGTCGTCACTTAGTTACCGTTGATGCCAAGTCGACCCGCAAATTCACGCATAGAGGAATTAAATACATGGCGACAATCCGTGAACAATTCTGAAAGAAAAATGGTGACAACGTGACTGGTATACTGATTTTAGCAATAAATAGTGAGCACAAACTATTATAACAAGCAGTTACAGTATTTCTGTTTGTTTAATTGTATTTTTGGTTCCGGATTGATTTCATTCTTGTCTGTAAGTTTGTTAGGGTTATGGAAACTTATTTCTGTTTTACCTGATAATCAAACACGAAGAAGGCCAGAGTACTTACTTCTAGTTTTTTTCCTGAAACATGTCCAGCCTATACAGCAGAGCAATAGTATTATCACCAGTATCGTGATGGGTACAGAGGTCCAAATTGTCTTCCTAAAAAAATATATTTTAAGATAAACGTAACACACATCCACAAGGATTTAGTTTTTTTTTTTAAATTTACATTGTATAAACGTAAATCGGTTACATACATATTCCATGAAGCCCGCTAGGGATTTGCGTTCATACCGGCATGAATATTGAATAATACCATTCAATCCTGATATTTACATAATGAATATTTAGTTACTATTGACCTTCATGAAGATAATCCCGTTAATTCGATATTGAAGTGTCTTTATCGTCAGCACAAACAAAACTAGTTGATCAGTCTAACGTCACCAAAATGTTTGATTCCAACGCTTGTTTCAATGTAAATCAAGCCGGTAGGATATGTTTCAAAATGACGCTGATGGCTCTATGAAAGCGATTTTTTTCTGGTAAATCTTTTAGAGGAACTTGCAGTGGAAATGTAAATATAGAGTAATAGGTGATAGCACCTTTAGGTTTTGGTAATGGATCTAGTACGTAAAAAATGAGTTCCACTGCATCATACAGCTGTTTTGAAATTTTAGCACTCATCGATGATGCCAGGGCCCCAAACATTGTGAATCCAAATTAGTCTAATCAACTGTTGAAGCTGTATATTTTCAAATAACATAATTTGTTAAGTGGATATATTTAGATTACTGGGGTAATTAAGGTTGTGGCAAAGTGTGGAGACTAGGATATCCACCAACGAAGTCTAACACCTGTATCTTGAGAGATGAACGTAACACATAAAGGCTATTACACATTTTTATATGCTATATAAGTTGTAAATAATAATAATAATAATAATAACTCGAGGTTCTTATATACCGCTTTATCACAACCTAGTTCGTAGGTCGTCTCAAAGCGGTTCACAAATTATTATCCGTGGTTATAGGGCCTTTGCAACCAGCCAATGTCTTTCTCAACTCACTGGGGAGCATACAAAATGCTAGCCCTGCCCAACCACGTACTCATTTACAGCCGAGCAGACTGGAACAAGCGGAGTAAAGTATCTTGCTCAAAGATACAACCAAAGCCGTGCCGTGACTCGAACCCACAACCCTTCGGTCACGAGCCCGGTGTCCTAAAACTAGACTACCGTGCCTCGAGGTACAATCAGAAGCTTGGTAGTTTGATTAATTAGACTTGGTTATTAGTTTATGCCATTTTTTAATTTTCAAATTGACATTTTACTGGATGCATAACCAAATGATACATAAATTAAACGTCAATAAAATGCTTTTTTTAAATAAATAAAAATAAATAGATATACACTTTGCAACAATTTACAAAATGTTCTTACCAATCGTCAGCATCCGGCCAAAGTCCCTCCTTCTCTTCTCTGGGGAATGGTATAGGAAAGATAACTCCTTTTTGATGTCTTGTGGGGAATCGCTCTTCTGGAAGAGGCTGTTCAGCGGTTTCTTCAATTTTGTTTTGTATGAGGTGGTCTTGTTCATTCGGTGTTAACTGTGGCGATGATGTAGTCGACACTCTGGTTCTGATGACATAGTTATGAGGTGCACAACATTGTAACATTTGTTATGGCAATTGAAAACGTGATCACGGATACCCTATGTAACAGGAACACTAGATTGAAATAGACAACTAGCATATGCATTTTGTTGCACCTTAATGCATTTGTTAATGCAACTGACTTATAAGCTGCTTATAAGAATGGTAACATAACAGCTAAGAAGTATATGAACACTGTATTTTTATTTACTAAATCCTACACCTGTAATATGACTTAATGAATAATGTAGTAATAGATACCTTTAAACGCTTTTCTCTTAAGGGTCATGTTAATAGGTAATCTGTATGCCTAAAATCAGTGATAAAATGTAATATTGTCATATATTTATGGAAAAAGTAACACAAGAAACCTTAACATTACACCTCATAGGATTTGTATGATATATTATCATGAATTGTTCACACAAATCTTTTTTTTGGGAGGAAAACCCAAATGTATGTGACTTTTGACGAGGAACAATTTTCTCTTTTTATTGGGAGTAATGAGCGGACTTAATGACGCTCCGATATTGTTTCGGGTCAACAGTACACGATAGGAGCAATGCGTTTGTTTACATGTTATCTCTTATTGTACATGTGACCTCATTTGAACCGGCATTGCTTCAAATTAGGGAAAATGGCCGACATTCACTAAGAAGTTTTTAAATTCTTTTAAGTATGATTTACGTACATAACAAGATCCGATCGTTGTATCATTTTAAATAACCACCACCATAAGTATGTCTGTGCATTAAATATTGGGAGATCGGCCTAGAAAGATCGCCAGGAAGAGTGTTTTATTCCTAGGTCCACCATACGTTTCTGTGTCACGTCAACAGATGCCGTACTTACATGAAAATATGTTTTATGTAATATTATTAATTTTTACCCAATTTTATAGATGAGGTAAGTATAGGAAGGTTTTATTATTATGTTTATTTGACCTAGAATTATAATACGCGGATAATGTAAATATGTAAACATATATCGACAAGAACGTGGCAAGTACAGCAACCCATAGGCAACAGGAACTCGACGTTCACTTATCATTATTACGATAATTATCACAAAACCCCTTTAAAATGGCCATTTACCGTGGAAAAGGCATTTTGGAATGGCAGGAGGGAAGCATTCAACTATGAGAAAAAGAGTGTATCAGCATAAATATATGTATAAATGCAAAACGAATCGGAACATGAAAACAGACAACTCGAATCTGAAATTGAATATTGCGCGGTGTTCAATTCTGAACAGGTACAAAATAAGAACAAAACGAAGGGCAGGTTATTGTTTCTGAAACATAAACAGTTTTACAGTGTAAAGAGTGTGTCAGTTGATAAGCCATTTCAGTTTGTTATAAGCCGTGTGTCATCAAAATCCTATAGGCTCAATTTATTACAACAGCACATGACTAAAATAGCGTTGCATGTTGCCAAATAGGAACACTTGAAGCAGATTGTTGCTAAAGACCAGACTCCCATTAACATTTTAACTGAAATTAAGACGCTTTTTAATTAGTCTTGCTAATGTACTGGAGGCAGAGTGTCAGGGCTGTAAGCAGAATTCAGGTTGGATACTAGCCCTCAAATTTCTAATGGTCGCACAAACCATTACGATGTAAATATAAAAGCGGTATGGGGAAGTATGGTAACAGGTGGTGGAGTGGCTCACCTGAATGAGACCTTGGCTACGTTAAATTCACCCGGATTATCCCAGCAAACATTTTCAACAATAGAACAGGAAATTAGGGACATGTGGTACCCAGCAATCCAAGATGATTTGTTGACTGCAGGTGCAGAAGAGAGACGGATTGTCATGGACAAGGGTCACTACCATGAAGTGGTTCCTTGCATAACTATTGTGTGCGATAGTGGGTGGAGTAAAAGGTCCCATAAGCATTCATATAATGCATTTGGTGGAGTGGCTGTCATCATTGTCGCAGAAACGGGTAAGCTGCTACACATCAGTGTGAGAAACAGGGATTGCTACATTTGTAGTCACGCAGAGGTAACACATACACAGGCCAGGCCACACAGATGCTTTAAGAACTAGACTGACAGCTCACAGGCTATGGATTCGGACATAATTTTGGAAGGTTTCCAGCAGGCAGAGAAACTCCATGGGATAAGATATACTAAAGTTATCACTGATGGGGACTCATCAGTATTTGCCAAGATCCAGGAAAATGTTGTAGGTTTGGGTAAAGATGTACAGAGGGTAGAGTGTGTCAACCATGTATGTAAATGTTTGCGAAGCAGTTTGGAAAAACTCGTTGACACTGTTCCAATGTACAAAGGCAAACATGGCCTCACAAAGTCTGTAAGAGTTAGACTCACAAGTGCAGTAAGGTGCGCGATTCGTTTGCGATCAAAGAAACAAGATAGGAAGTCTGCATTGAAACAGCTTGATCATGAAATCAGAAACTCTATTTTTCATATTTTGGGCAATCATCAAAAGTGTTCAGATTTCTGCAGGGCAAAAACATCTACCCAATCCAATTCATCTACATGTACCTCAACACCAAGAACAGATAAAGAGACGGTAGGCAACAGTGAGGATTCTTTTGTTGATTCTATACCAGGTATCATAGAGGAAATTTCAACAGTATGGGCAGATTGCACATCTGCTGACGCACAGGAGGAATCAAGAGAAGAATCATACACCATTGTGTGTGACATTAACTCTATGATGCTGAGAGATGTTAACATCCTTCTGGATCGTGTTGCTATGACAAGTAGCCGCCTGTTAGGAAATTCCACTACAAATTTAGCTGAATCATGGATGGCTATTTGAGCCAAATTTGACGGGGGCAAATTATACAACCGCTGCAATAGAGGGTCATGGCATTCAAGATGTTTTGGTGGGTGTTTACGAAGATGTTTTGGTGGGTGTTTACGGAAAAACCTTGGCCCATTATGGTCTCCACTTATTTGGAAGAAGACTTCTTCAACAGAACCTGGATATTTATTTCGTAAACTATATGGGAAGAGGGATTCTACCTTGATGTCCAGTAAAACGTCTAAAGCAAAACCTGAATCAAAGGCCCGCAGATGGAAAAGAAAATATCAGGTGGGAAAGAATGCAAATGGAAAAAGGCTAGGTTAGAATATGGACCACAGGCATTGGACAGCAGACATGATCTTCCCGTAGGTGAGCTGGAGGGGAAAAAAACACCTTCTTGAACAGACACATCTATTTGACTTCTGAGACATTAAAATCCATTTAGCAGCTGACAAAACAACAGTCCTATTCTGTAGTTTGATTGAACGAGGGGAAGAAGAGGATTGCAGCATCAATTTGTTTATCCATTGCAAAACGGAACCCGTCACTACCATCGAAGAAATTGGTGCAGTCTCTCCTTTATTCCTCTTTGAAAGGTAATGTCTTCACCAGAAAAGGACTTAATGATGAAGCAATAACTGTGAAAGAGTACATCGCCAAGAAAGCAGAACTCCAGGAAGATGTCAGTGCAGAGCGATGTGGCTTAATGATATTCAAAGAGCATAAGTTTCTCGCTGCCAGACCAGATGGGAAAGTAGTTATGAATGATGGGAATGTTGGTCTGTTGAAAATTAAAAAATGCTCCAACCCAAGCCAATAAATCTACATGAAGCTGTAAAACTGAAACAAGTGAAAAACGTTTGTTTAGAACATGTTGGACCCTTAAACCATCTACGTCTTAAACAAAGCCATCCATTCTACTATCAAGTTCAAGGGCAATTAAATGTCGCTGATTTGACATGGGCAGACTTCATCGTCCGTATTACAAATCATTATCAGCTTCACATTGAAAGGATTTCATAGAATAAAGAATTTTGGAACAATTCCATGCTACCCCAATTGAAATCGTTTTATTTCAGCGCACTGTTGCCTGAACTAGCTTCACCAAGGAACGATACAATAACTGGAATTAGAGAACCTGGAACATGGGTAAGGTTATGAAGAAAATGTTGATAAGTTTGTTTATTGGGGTTTAAAACCTCTTTATATTATTAAGTAACTGATTTATCAATGTATGTCATATCAAGATGGTGTCTGCTTGTGACAGTGCTCACTTAAACGAATTTTGTAGTGCTGTCTCACTGAAATATCACGCTGCATACACATTCACATGATAATTCATTCAGACACATTATCAAGACACCAAACTAACCAATCCCTCTTCAATCAAGAAATGTTAAGTGCTTAGCATGGAATGAGAAGACTGCCGAATTTTAACATCTTGGGGTTTGACACGAACAGGATTCGAACCCTCACCTGGGATTCTAACACCAGTCTACCATTACGAAATGTTGATAAGATTTAAATGCGAAAATGTCAATCCTATAACCTTTTATATATATATATATATATATATATATATATAAAGAAAACATTAAGAAGTCCTTGTGTTGGAATTAAATATATATATATAGAATAAAAACATAAATCTTTCAGATCGTCCGCTAGGCCTTTCTGCCTTCTAGGGCTTCTTGACGGATTGATGTTTGTTTATCACCGTTGGTTTCATGACGTCATCAATATTTGTATTGTCAACAATTTTAGTGACGTCATCACTAAACAAGCATAGTGACGTCACAAACAATACCAGGACAAAGAAAACATCTACATAAAATACATTGCAAAAATCATTGTGCATTCAAGCTGGGTTTGAGAACTTTTATAAACATATTTTCTTTAATTTCTCTTGCAACTACATGTCGCTATTCAGTTTGTAAATAGGTAACACATAAAAATCATCTTTAGAACATTGATGGATATGTTTGCTAAAGGGCCGGTTTCCAAAACGGCCCCTTCTCTGATTCAAATTTCCTGTTGGTGGTGCATTGCCCATGCCGTTGTGGTCACAAATCTATAAAGTATAAAGATTTAGGTCACTTGGTTTGTTTTTTATGGCTCCTCAAAGTTGTTCCTTTCAGAAGCTGTCTAAGTGTTGATAAAATGTGCATGTTATGTAAAATATTAATGAAAATCTAATCAAATGAT